CAACTCAATTGTGTGCAAAATAATTTCGAATTTTAAACTTCCCCAGTGGCTTGCCTCACTTAATTTCATTACAAGTTTCTAAGAAAGCAGTCTTCAGTTATGGAAATGCTCAAACTTTTTGAACTTCCTATTGACTGTTATTGCAGGCAAATTAGATGCAACATTTTTATAGAACTTTTAAACATATTTAAAATATTGTTTGACTTCCAATCAAACTAAATTCATTCGTATTTGTGACGAGTGGATGCATCTGCAACTTGAATCAAGCGCAGCAAATTTTTAAACCTATAAAAAATGAAAGTTATGAAGATGAATCGTATTTAAAATAAAAATTTTTCAAGTTGTAAAAACTGTAGAAAAGCAGAGCAGCGTAAAAGATTTATAGGCCATTTTGGAGCACATGATGTGTTGAGACTCTGATCTGGCGCTGAAATAAGAAAATAGATGGATGGGATGGCGAGTAGAAGTTTTCTGTCAAAATGTCGCCAACGAATATACACTTCTCTACGTTTCAATGTGTTTCTGGTGATTTCGTATGCTTAGGCATACCATCGGACCGGTTTTAAATAACATCTGAAACAAAGTTTTGACAATTTACTTGAGTTATATGGACTAATAATCAATTTTGTAATGTATTGCAATGGTTACAAAACCTGGATTTAATGATAATAATGGTTTTTGTCTAGGAAAAAGAACGGTTGCTATTGAAAAATCACAAATTTTGTTATTTTCATTTTCGTTCAGTTTATCATTTCTTCAAACTTTGTTCTCATTTTAAAAAATGTTCTTGAACGAAATCTTCCACGCTCATACTTAAAAAACATTTGGGAGCCGTAATAAAATTATACCTTCACTTAGTTATCACGATTCAGTTGATGACATTGAGGAGCTTCAAATTTTCTGCCAACTACTCTTGTCTTTTTTATTTCTTTCTCGATTAAATAGTCATTAAAATGAAATAATAAAAAACTTTTATGCAGAAACTGGCGTACAAGAAATGTTCATCTAATTAAACAACAGTTTCAACATTTTCTTTCGTGCAAGCCTTCGATGGTCGATCGTCATGGAACCCTTGAAGCAACACGTGAGGCGCTATACAAATTAATAAAAACAGCAACAATAATAATAAGAATAACAAAAAATAATAACCATAATTATAATGAGACTAATAAAAATAATGAAAATAATACTGATAATAAAAATAATAGCATGCATAATATTATAAGTTGTAATTAAACATTGAATGAAACAGAGTGTGAGCGTGTGTGTGCGTGTGTGCGTGTGTGCGTGTGTGCGTGTGTGTGCATGTAGTGCAGAACAAGGTGCACTTTGAATAATGCGTTCACACTTCCAAAAAACAACTCGAACTTATTCAGTATTTCTACGTAAGGAAATAAAATTCGAGAATTTTAATCTTGTATGTTTAACTTATTACTATGTGATTAATTTCAATTGTTTCCATTAGGACTGCCTTCTCATGAGGCGTGTTTGCATGGGGCTGGAAGAGATATGTATGCCTAATTAACCTTTGATCAGCCTGTCGACACTGATGAATGGATGGATTGATGAATGAGTGAATAGATTAATAGATGAATGGATAGAAGAAGAGATATATAAATGATGAAATGAGTGAATGAATGAATGAATGAATGAACGAACGAACGAACGAACGAATGAATGACAAAAATTTTGATTGAACTAGAAAGGGTTTTGCAAAGTTTTATTTTATTTTTTTTGATTTTTTAATTCTCTGAAGTGTTCTCGATGTTTTTATGCGTTGTTCAAATTTTATCAGCAGTTTTGATTCAGTCGAATTAGGATGCTGTCACTCATTAAACATCTTCCCGATATATTTGGATTTATATTAATAAATATTGTTTAAAAATATAATAAAAAGTTGAAAAAATTCCGACAATAATATTGATTATTGTAAATAAAATGCATCACAACCACCAAGTTCTCGTTCGAAAATTTATTCAGCATCGTTAGATATTGGGCTGAAATTGATCACATCTCTAACAAATTGCTCTATCAGTATAAAAAATTAAATTTTAAAAATAAATAATTCCATATTTTTATTAAAAATTACAGGTTAGTGTGTTTCTGTATGAAGTATTAAGAGAGAAATGATCAAGCGCCAATTGAATTGAAACATCTCAAAAGACGCTATCAGGATTTAACGAGAAAAAAAATTGAATTGAACCGAACAATCGACCTGAATAACAAGGAGGCAAATCAGAGTTGGGATTTTCAAAAAGTAGAGCCCTCGTTCCAATAAGAATTCTACCAGCAGCCATTTCAGTTGCAACTGAACTGATTCCAGAAGATTGAAAAGCACACTCAACATAAAAATGTGAAATGGATATTTAAAAAGTATAAACAACAAACTGTGATTTGATTTCAAACTAGTCAAAGATCTAGTAGAAACAACAAATGTTTCATTTAATAAATCAAATGTTGAAGGTCTAACGATTTTTATGATAATAAAATTGATGCCAAAAACATAAGACCAGGGCACTGTATGAAAAAATTGTTTGACAGCAAATGGAAATTAATGGAAGAAACTCGCTTCTACTTTCTGTTTGCTTGTTGGTTGTTGGACTGTGTTGTGCGTGCAGCGGTGTATTTTGAAAATGGAACAACATAATCATTACAACAGTAATGAGATTTGGCTATCATGTCTAGTAAATAATAAAGTTGATAAATTTGTAAGTTAAATATTGAGGACCTAAATTTAACAACTATAATGATAGCATCAGCGGTTCTAGCAAGGCACTAACATATTTGAAACAAACAGGTCAGAAAGTCAACATGAAGAAATATCAAAAAAACCAACCAACATTTCGCAAGTCATCAACGTTATTCTTTCTACTGAAGATGGCAAAGAATAAAAGATTCTAGATTTTCAAAATAGATAATGTTGTTAACACTTTTAATGTTGTTTCATTTAATTTTCAGCCAAGCCCAAGTGAAAACTCGGAAAAAAATTATTCTCAACTCGTTTTTCAGTGTTGCATGACGTGACGGGGAGCGGAAAGGCAGGATTGCTGGAAATATTAATGGCACACGTAGGAGTTCTGCTAGCTGGCTCGCTGGATTGGTGCTTCCGTGTAATGTCCTCTGCTTGCTGTGTTACTTAGTGAAGTGTAATCAAATTTGTATTCCGCTCTAACAACTTATAACAACTGGTTATCAAGGAATTGAACAAAATTTTGTTAATGCGGTTGTTGTATATTTATTTGAGTCGCTTCAGAAATATTAAAAAAATGTTTTATTTTGTAATTTGTTGAAATTAAAAATTGAATTAATGTGAATTTAGTAAAAACGATGAGTTGGGGTTTGTTGCACCTTTCATTATAACAACCGTCACTAACAACTTCTCCTATTCAAACGTTTGAGAGTGACAAAGATAAAACAATTTTCTTAGGCTCTCATAACACCACCAGTGAACAAATAAATATATTAAAAATAATCTGTTAACCTCAAAAAATGAAAACAAACAAACAAGAAATGATTGAATAAATAGACGAATATATTCAATAAAATAAGTGAGTAAATACATGAAGATATAAGTGTTTAAATAATATAAGTGAATTCAAATTTAAAAACAAACGAAATTTATTTTTCAAAGTTATTTGTCCACAAAAAAAATCGCTTAGACTCATGTGAGAAATTTAAAAAAAGTTTCCACTTCAAACAATTATTTGCAATCAACCAGAAGTTTGAGGAGCTATCCAGAATTTTAATTTTATAACTTTTTGAAAAGTACATTAGACGCTATTTGGTAAAAAATCTTTCCTTATGAAAAAAGCGACGGAGGCATAATTTTAAAATAATTTCCCGGAAATATTTTAGTTGTCGCCTTTTTAATTAATGCAAGTTAAAAAAGTTGAAAATTCTTGGGGTTGAAAAATAAGCAAATCTCAAATGAAACTCAAACGAAAGACAAAAATTTAATTGAAAATTTAAATTAAGATAAAAAAAGGTATAATTAAGAAAAAAAATACTGAACCATAATAAGATGCAAATTCTAAACAAAAAACTCTCGGTGATCTGTTGCATGTAATTAATTAATTTTTCATTATCTCCACAACTGCATGTTTCTCTTTTGAGACTGTTTTTCAGTTCTTTTCTTTGGAAAGATTCAATCGCATAGTCAACAAATTAAGTTGAAATAATTTTGTGTCCTGTCATTTCTTTCCCCCTCTTCATGTTATGCCGTGTCATATGGAGGTTGGATCCCTTCCTAGCTAACTCTTCAAATTAACTTTACCTTCACTGTCAACGTTTCAAACTTTTCATTCTTCTTCATGTTTTATGGTATATTTGAAACGATAACTCTAAAACTAGCGACTTTTTTTTTGATAATGCACCCCATTAAGAAACACCCACCCCACCTACCTACTAACAAACCTACCTACCAACATACTTACCTACCTACCTACCTACCTACCTACCTACCTACCTACCTACCTACCTACCTACCTACCTACCTACCTACCTACCTACCTACCTACCTACCTACCTACCTACCTACCTACCTACCTACCTACCTACCTACCTACCTACCTACCTACCTACATACCTACCTACCTACCTACCTACCTACCTACCTACCTACCTACCTACCTACCTACCTACCTATCTACCTACCTACCTACCTACCTACCTACATACCTACCTACCTACCTACCTACATACCTACCCACCTACCTATTTATTTATTTACCCACATAGTTGCACGCAACTTTAAAGCACATGTATTAAAATTGTTAATACACGAAAATCATTGATCTTTTATGTATTTTTTCGCTAATAGTAATTGAAATTTTTTAATGTTTTCCAACTTACTCTAGCCTTATTAAGATGAGATAAAATAATTAGCTCATGAAAAATTGTTAAAAACTCACTATGCCAAAGTTCTGCCGACTGGTGATAATCATGAAAAATATTGACAAAACTGTTTATGAAAGTTTTAATAAATTTTATTCGAATTTCATTTATGTGTACTCACGAACTTTCAGCCACACCTCCACACAGCGGTCACATATTACGATGTTAACATTTTTTAAATGTGACTTCACAGCTGCCAACATCAATTCATTCCTTTCAATTAAACTAAAACAACAGCAGTAATGGTGGCGGTAGTAGTAGCAGTAGTATTGGCGGTAATAATAGTAGTATTAGTAAGTGGTGGTAGCAGTATCATTAACATCAGTAGTAATAATTATTGTCGTTGTTATTGACGTTGTGATGTTTTTTGTTTTTTATACTGTTGTTGTTGCTGCTACTACTGATCATTTGATTGTTGAAGTTGCAACCGTGGCTGGTGTGGTTGATGTGGCTGGTGTGGTTGGTGTGGCTGGTGTGGTTGGTGTGGCTGGTGTGGTTGGTGTGGTTGGAGTGATTGGCGTGGTTGATGTGGTCGTTGATGCTGTTGCAGCTGATGTTGGTTATTTTTGTTTTTTATTGTTGACAGAATTTTTTTTTCTGCCAATGATGAATACAAAACGTTAATGGAAGACAGCATTTTTTTTAAAAACTTGACAATATTTTTTATTACTTATAACCAATGTTTTTTTTATAATTTCGCATTTGTCATTGTTATTATTAATAATAATATTATTAATTATTAATTCATTTAAAATATAATCTAACTTTATTTTAAATATTATGGTCGAAATCTTTTGATGAAAAGCTGATTAACGCGGTATTTCACTCGCCACGTAGCATATATTGTGACATAAGCACTTAACCGATTTTAAATATATTTTTTTACTCTCAAGCACTTGTTGATCAAAGAGCACGAGAGGATGGTACATTATATTTTGCATATTTTACATTTTATTTATTTCTTTACACTCCGATATATAATTAATAACTTTCGATTGATTTCATTTGGATTTTATCTTTTCGGTCAATAAAAGAATGTTCCCATTATTATTATTATTATCATTGAATAGTTTTGCGATAGTTACTTGAACGTGAATGCACTAAAACAAACAAACGAAGTCTTAAAAGCAGAAATATCTTAACCCATTTATAGCAAAAAGTTGTCAATATTTATTTGCAGAATATTAATTTACTACATGCGCCATGCCACTGATGTCTGCACGAACATGTAGAAATAAGCATGATAAGGAGCATTCACCAGATGAAAATGTACGACGGTTGGAGTCCCGCGGACGGACAAATAGATACCCACATTAAGAGATTAACATTAGTTTACAGTGCCGCAGAATAGATCCGTGCATAAAAATCTGTATTTATAGGAGGCTATCTTCAACGAAACAAGCATTCACACAGGTCTTACTAAATTTCTGTTTTACGTTCCTCTACGTTCCCGTGTCTTCGTTTCGTTGGATGCCGTGTAATAAAGAAAGTGATATTTATCTGGTTTCTGTCTGTTTGTCTGTCTGCTTGTCTGCTTGTTTGCTTGTCTGCTTTCTTGTCTGTTTGTCTGCTTGCCTGTTTGCTTGTTTGTCTGTTTGTCTGTCGGTTCGTCTGTCTGCTTGTCTGACAGTTTACCTGCGTAGGATCCTGTTTATTTTGATTGCCTCCCAGTGGTGATGTGCCGGGCGAGCGTTGATGACGTCATTACGGTAATTTGTTTGTATGTAGTTGTAGAATGCCAACATGTTAATAATAGTAATATGCTGAATATAATGCGTAGTATAAGCTTTTGAATGGAAGTCTTGGCTCCAGAGGTTTGTTCTGCTGGTATTTCATAATTGTTCTATTATTAATTCATAAGCAGTTTTTGTGGAGTTGTTTTGTTTGGAATAGAGACATTTTATAGTGACACAAAAATATGCACAGATCAGGACTACAACTGATACGCTGGGTTTGTTTCTAATATTTTTATGTCCAATTTGGTGATGAAGTTTTGCGGCGATGTTGAGAGGCATGCCGTCGTAAATATTTTATTCGTTGTGAGTTACTGATCAGACCTCCTCCTATGATTTGATGTGTCCAACAACAATGTGATCGTTTCATTGTTGTAAGCAAGCACGCGAAAAAACTCAGGCTCAAACAAAAAAGGCTTGCCAGTATGAAATATCAGGTATTCGTAAGTGACTAATTACGTTATTTATTTGTTCAACATTACGTCATAATATTTCTTCTAATTGGATTTTCAAAAGAAATGAGTGAGTGAGTGAGTGAGTGAGTGAGTGAGTGAGTGAGTGAGTGAGTGAGTGAGTGAGTGAGTGAGTGAGTGAGTGAGTGAGTGAGTGAGTGAGTGAGTGAGTGAGTGAGTGAGTGAGTGAGTGAGTGAGTGAGTGAGTGTAACGATATAAATGTCTACCTTTTTTGACCTGAACGTAAATGAACATTTTAAATACTTAAATTCACACCCACACACACACCCACACACACACACACACACACACACACACACACACACACACACACAGACAAATAACAATGCATCTATATTCAGTTGTTGTTTCGAAATGCATCTAATGTCAGACGACTGTTGAGCCTAATTTTGACAGATCAGCTTAATAACGATGATGATTGTACATTTCGATGATCACGGTGAATGGATGAATGAATGAATGAATGAATGAATGAATGAATAAATGAATGAATGAATAAATGAATGAATGAATGAATGAATGAATGAATGAATGAATGAACGAACAAATGAATAAATGAATGAATGAATAAATGAATAAATGAATGATTGATTGATTCTTATGCGGTGGTCATGCACGTGCATGAAGGTAAATAAAAATTTTATTCGTCTTAAGTGCAAATGTTGCAGTATGTCACGTGTTAAATATTGATGTGCAAATGAAGATCTTTCAATCCCATTGTCACAAAGTGATGTCTCGTGCTCTGTTATTCTGTTGAGTCGTTGTTGCGATGTTTCAGTGAGTTGTTGGTATGCTGTGATGTTGTTGATGTGTTGTTGATGCGTTGATGTGTTGTTGGTTGTTGATGTGTTGTTGGTGTCATGTTGATGTTTATGTGATGTTGATGTGATGTTGATGTGATGTTATGTTGATATGATGTTGATGTGATGTTGATGTTTTGTTGGTCTTATGTTGGTGTGTTGTTGGTGTCATGTTGATGTGATGTTGATGGGATGTTGATATGATGTTTATATGATGTTGATGTGATGCTGATATGATGTTAATATGATGTTAATGTCACGTATATATAATTTGATGTGATGTTGATGGGATGTTAATGTTGATGTGATGTTGATGTGATGCTGATGTGATGTTGATATGATGTTGATATGATGTTAATATGATGTTAATGTGGCGTATATATATGTGTTGATGTTATGTTGATGTGATGTTGATGGAATGTTGATGTTGATGTGATTTTGATGTGATGTTGATGTGATGTTTATATGATGTTGATGTTATGTTGATGCTATTTTGATGACCCGATAAAGTCGGTTTAATGTTTATTTATCAAATTGTTGCTAAGATGATGGTAGACAGCCAATGTGGCATGTTGATGATGTTTGTGAAGATGTTGTGATATGTTCGCAAAGAGTTCTGTGTTTAAAATTTGTTTTTTTAAATAATTTCTTCTAATTTATGAGATTTTTTCAGAATGTTTAAAAATTTCGAATTTTTCAGGAAATAGTTGAAAGGAAGAAAAATTTGGAAAAAAAAATTTAATTTCCATCTGATCTTTGAACTTTAAAATTTAAAATAGCCATTAAAAGTCAATCAAGATTAAAATCGTATAAATTAGATAAAAATTCTAATTTAAAACCACCGACACATCACTTGCCAGAAAAACAGCCATCAGTCGCAAAATAAAATGAACCTCACAACAGCATCAGCCAACAACAAATGCATCACATCGTAAGATTAAAAATATTTAATGAACGATAATTAGATATTGAATAATTGAAAACATGAAAACAAGAGGGACTAACCTGGCACGACGATTTTGAAGTTGCGATCGACGCTACCAGCGCTGTTCTTGAACGCACAAGTATACAGACCCTCGTCCAGCGACCGCACAAACTGCCTGATGATCAGCCTGTGAGAGTATGCCTTCTTCTGACTCTTCAATGACGTCGCGTGTGGGAGGAACTGAGAAGACGACGACGACAACAGGGAAGTCATGGATGACATTTGGTACTTGTGCGAGTTCTGCAGGGGCAGGGAGTTGTGCAACCAAGTGACTGATGGCTGTGGAGTGCCGATGACGTCACAAAAAAGTTCGAGGTCGTTGTTGTTGAGGATGTTGTTGTGGATGAGGTGGCTGTGGTGGTTGAAGCTGCTGTGGTGGTTCGTGTTGACGTACGTGAGGCTGGGCGAGGTTCGAAGCAGGAGTGGGGGAACTGCATTTTGATTGATTGACATGTACGCAGTTGAATGGTTGGTTGGGTGGCTGATTAAATGGTCGACTGAGTGATTGGGCGGTTGACCGGATGATTGACTGATCAATTGGTTTATTAATTACTTGGTTGATTAATTTTTTATAGAATAATTGATTGGTTGGTTGACTGAAAGTGTGGTTGAGTTTTTTTTCGTTAGTTGGTAAAACGAAGGGCCAAAAAATTATTATTTTTATTATTATTAATAAGTTGAAAATTATTTTAAAACTTTTAAAATAATTTAACATTACCTGCATGATAGGCGAGAGTAGATTGAATTTGAAAATAAGTTAGGATGAAAAAAATTATCTCAGCCATCATCAACGATGTTGCTCGTTAGTTATCAGCTTAATAAACTTCACTGCTTCAAAATGATGAGTCATGGAAATGAATTAGATCATCATCAATTTTTATATTTAAAATATTTTAACGATATCCAATCGCAGCGATCAGCATTATTATTTACAAAAAATTATAACATGAAATATTAAATTTTTATTTGTTTGAAAATATTTTTCTTGAAACAATTTCAGAAGATTTTTCCCAATGTATTCGTTATTATTATTATGTTATTATTATTATTATTATCACTTAGTATTATTATTATTTATTATTATTATTTATTATTATTATTTATTATTATTATTTAAGTTTATTTTAAAGCGTATGGAAAACTGTAGAACAAACGAAACGAACGAATCTTAAATTTGATATCAATGAGAGGTTTAAGAGCAACAAATACTGAGTGGTGCACACACGTCACTCGCAACAACAACAACGGCAACTACGACGACACAACAACAACAACAACAACAATAACAACTAATACGACGACACAACAACAACAACAACAGCAATAACAACAACAACAATAACAACAACAATAACAACTAATACGACGACACAACAACAATAACAACAACAACAAACAACAAGAACACATCAACAACAATGTTCCTCCGCATGTTCCGCCTACTTACATGCGTGTTCCTCATCAGACCAAACAACAACTCCAACAACATTTCTAGTACAAGAATTCAAAAACACGCCGGCAGACTGAGCTGACAATTGCAGGTGAAGTAGATGGACACTCCAATGCATCTCATATTTTAAAACATTCCCATCAACATTTCATGTTAGTACAAATTCGCCATTCACTGCGTTTAATACGTGAACTCTGTCGCTGATGAAATAGCTCTTGGGGAGTGCAATCCATTAGTGTTGCTGTACATACGCATTCCTATGTTTATGTATATACAACATAAATATATATGTTATATATATAACATATATATTTATATACATGTATATATAACATCCCTACATATATAAAGATATATATATTGGTGAATGTGTATGCTTGTTTGGTGCATGCAAGCGATGCATACATACATACATGCATACATACATACATGCATACGTACATACATGCATACGTACATACATGGCTGAACATGAACACTCACCGCCTCTCTCTTCAATCGCTAACAAATACTGGAGGATACTTTGCCGTTCGAGACAATAGCCATTCACGGTGCATGCATGAATTGTATGTATGTATATATGAAAATTTACACGCATTGTATGTATCCCTGTGCATTGTACATTCACGTGCGTTGTACGTATCCGTGTACATTCGAGATCAATGTATGTATGTATATTGTATTGTATACCCACACACATGTATGTATGCATGCACATTTACATAAAAGATATTCATTAGCATTCATGCACAAGCACATGCACAAACAGCGCATGAATGCATACACATTAACATGCACATGTGTTTGCATGAATGCTTATGCTATTATCGGATTTCCTCTGCCAGCACTTCTCAAGTCAAGAGTGGCGCACTGGATTAAGAATTCATGCTGATTTGCATACTTGAGGTATTGTAAGGCCAATTAACGTGCCGCCGTTGTGACTGGAGGAAGTTGGCCTCTGCAAGTCATTTGCTGAGTGCTTCTCTACAACGCCACTACGTAAAGGAGCTTTGTGGCTGCTTTGAAACTATTTTAAATTACAACTAATGAACAGCTAAAGATTTTAAAAGTTGTTGACGATTTTAATTAACTGTCAAATGCAAAGGAGCATCTGCTGATGGGTGTTCTAACTTGGGACGCTCCTTCAATCCGTTCAATATTTAATTCAACAACTGTTGATGATTATCGAAAAAAACTGTTTGATGGCTCTGTTATGACTTTTTACATTCGCAGAAAATTGAAACAATTTTTAAAATAAATAAGAAATTGTGATTAAATAAAAAATTAAACGCGAAAATTCTATTGTTGAAATTTTAAACAATGACTAATAAAATTATCCAATTTCCGATTTGGTGAATAATTAATCGTTTGCGCTGAAGTTTGTTTCACAGTTCAATAGTAAAATGAACAACAACAAACTTTGCAAATGATAATGCCAAAAACTTGGATTTAAAAAATTAAAAGCTGTGGTTCGTGGGAGTTTTTAAATAATTAACGAAAAAAATCGCCACGAAACGAACGTGGTGGAGGTGAGGGTTCATCCAATTGAAACTTGAGAAGGAAACTTGTTATGACTCACCATCGTAATGAACACTTCACTGTTGGAGGGGCAGACCTTCAGACCCACCAGGCACCCACCATCAGCACCGAGGTTTAAAACAATGAAAGACGGCAAGATGGACTGATGGAATGCGAGATGGGAGGAAAACTGCAGGAATGGCTTCTAAATATTTCATTTAGCGCGTGACGTGCTAAAATGTGCACCAGAACATGCTAGGAATGTAACGCCCAATTAGCTATCTCTAAATGTTTCCTTAAAGATTTAGTTGGAGAATTTTCTTTTAAAAGAAAATAAAAGTTTGGTTTGAAGTAGAAAGAAAACAGTTTTTTTTAATTTTTCAATATCCACATATTTTTTAAATAATTCAACATTTACATAATTTTTAAAGCAATATTTTTTTACAATTTTGAAGGTTTTTAAAGATGATGAACCGTGTTTATTTATCCTATAACACGTAAGGCAGCATTCAAAAAAATTTTCAAATCAGAAAATTAAAACAATTTTCGAAATCTGTGACTAAAACACAGATGTTCAGATGGATCGAACGAGGCCTCCAACGCACACACACACACACACACACACACACACACACACACACACACACACACACACACACACACACACACACACACACACACACACACATACACGCTCACGTGTGTTTGTTTGTGTGTGTGTGTGTGTGTTTCAAAGTGTTTGTTTGTCAGTGTTGTGAGTGTGTAGTGTGCGAAATGGTATTGAAATATTTTGAGTAAAGCACGATTTACACTTATGTTAATGAAAACTATCCTTAAAATTTGAGTAAAATTTGTAGCTAATTTATTTATTCTTTGGATTATTCGATTCTTTTGTTTGTTTTTATTCGTTTTTTTTATTTGAAGGATGACCAAAAAAAATCAACTATAAATGTAACAGAAATGTCAGATAAATACATACACATAAACTCACGCTTTCAACTCAACCCCTATTTCGCAATTTTTTTGGCAAAAGTGTATTTAGTTAGAAACATAATTTTTGGTGGTTAGTCAGTTTGATTATATTTTAAAAACACACGCACACACACACACACGCACACACACACACACACACACACACACACACGCACACAGTCAGTTTGATTATGAAAAAACACACATACAAAAACACGCATACACACAAAGAGAGAGACACACACACACATCCCGACTGTATTTTGATTTCATTCAGCCATCTTAGAAATGGTTAAATCATACGTTACTGAGACTCTTACTGCACTGCACACTTCTTAACATATCGGCTTACATACACGTAAACAAACAAACAAACAAACAAACAAAAAAACAAACAAACAGACAAGCATACAAACAAACAAACAAACAGACAAGCAAACAAAACAATGAGTAGACTGCAGCATACCATCACGTAAACCCGCAGTCTAATAAACATTAGTTCGGTGATGTCAACAAAAATTGTGTCATTAAGGAATGCGTTGGTATGAGAATAAATCTTCAAGTCAATGAAATTAAATTTACATTTTTTTAATGAAGAAAACATTTAAAATACATTGGTAATACGATGAAAATAAAAATTTTTGCAAAAATAAAGCGCTAAACATTTATATAATGGCTAGATTGATTTTGTGTGCAATCGATACTGTACGTCGTTCTGGTTGGGGGGCCAGTCTGTCTCTCGGTTACTTGCTCTGAAGAGTGGTTCGATATTTACGGTGGTATGTTGCAGTTGGCTGGTTGGTTTGATGGATGGTTGTATGGGTGAATGGATGGATGGGTTAATGAGTGGGTGGATGGATAGATAGATGGATGGATAGATGGATTGGTGGATGGATGGATGGATGGATAGATAAATGGATGAACATAAAATTATTTTCCTCAGACGATATTTTTTGTGTGGCATGAAAACTTGGTTGTTTGTGAGAGATGCCGTAATTTCGAAGTGTTTTCATCGTTGCATGGTTGTTTTCTGTGTTAGTGTTGAAATATTTACAGTCAATAAAACTTTCAGAAAATTATTTAAAAAAATATTCATGATTTATGTAGCGTTCAATATTAAAAATCTAAGTTAAAAAAGCAAAATTTGTAAAAACACTCCATTCTATTATTTTATAGTTTATTTTGTTCACCTAGCGATTACAATTAAAAACAGTTTCTCGTGAAAAATGAACCACCTAGCGAACGTATAAGAAATGTTGAGCGCTCAGCTGTCCGAATAAAGTCCTACCTGAATCACCTGTTTTCAAATATTTACAAAAGTGTTAAAGTTTTTTAAGCATATTTCAATTCATTTGGTAACGTTTAAAACACTCGAATAATGCTCTGGATGGTTTGTATATAGGCCTCCATTTCAATTCATTTTATCGGCTTCATTCGATAAAACAAAAGTGGAAAGATTAATTCATGTATGTTACATTTTTTTAATGAGATGATTGCACCATATATTTGTACTGTAACGTGATACAAATGAACATAAGCAAGATACATACAAAATGAAAATTGTTTCATACTAAAAGTTGAAAAAAATTTCCGATTTTTCTATGGCAAGTTGCAACAAAATGTTGCAACAACTGTTGAAAAAACTGTATTATGAAAATTAATTCCAAAATTTAGGACATTTTACGGCAATTTACGACGGTGACCGACACGACAGTTGCATGAAACCAAATTTTCTGCAATAACCATAAATAACTTAACACGGCAATAAACATTATAAACAGACAATGTGTGCTGCAACACTCAGCAACTACATGAACAACAATCAAGCAGTGCAAATGATAAACATCAACAATAACAACAATAAAGCAGAGAAAATAATAACTAAGCCAAAAATATTATATTCAATTTTCATGTAAAACAACAAAGCATAGAATAGTAATCAATTTTCAACTTTGCTTCGATCATCTGTTTCCAGCATAAATGCCTGAAATATATACACGCACACACATGCATGAATTAAATACCTACACACATATTCACCTACGTACATGAACTTAGTTAGGCACAGCAGCTATGCGAGTGAGTGCAGTTGGTCAGATAACTGAGGCGGTATAGGAGGAGGCTTGGCTCGCGCTGTTGTTGCGCGCTGACCATGTTCCGTGATGGGGCGTGGAATGTCCGAAACCTGTGCATGTGCTTCGTTGAATGGAATGAAGCGTTTGATGAATGGCTAGTTTGCTTTTAAGTAAGAAGGCATTCAGGATCAACAAAAATATAATAGCTAATGCACTCACAAACTACACAGTGATATAATTACGAAACGAGCGTTTGATCAATGAATATAATATTAAAGTTCACTGAACAAACACACAAATGTTGAAGCACGTGTTCATGTTTAACAGTTTTGTTTGTAGAGTGCAGAGACGTATAGTTCTGTTACTTTTTGAGGCAGTTTAGCAGTACAATGGGAGACATAAATTCACTTTATTCCACATCACTTGTCCTATAAATCCTCACTAATCCCATCAATCGAGCACCTAATAGGAATAAATCTTCAATTCCTTTCCAGCTTTTAATCTGCGTATCTCATTCCCTTCACGCTCGCTGAGTATTTAACTAATTGTTTCT